ATTTATTTCAGAGAGGGAGAGGGAGAGATAGAAACATCAAAAAGGAGAATCATTGGTCAGCCCACAACCTGTGCATGTGCCTTGACCAGGAATCGAACCTGAAAACCTTCAGCCCACAGGCCATTGCTCTATCCACTGAGTCAAACCAGCTAGGGCAACTTTCATTTATTTATTTTTTTAAAATATATTTTATTGATTTTTTACAGAGAAGAAGAGAGAGGGATAGAGAGTTAGAAACATCAATGAGAGAGAATCATCGACCAGCTGCCTCTTGCACACCCCCCACTGGGGATGTGCCTGCACCAAGGTACATGCCCTTGAGTGGAATTGAACCTGGGACCTTTCATTCCACAGGCCGACACTACCCATTGAGCCAAACTGGTTTCGGCAACTTTCACTTATTTCATTGTTCTGATATTAGAGAGCAAGAAGGGAAGATACAATGCCCGTACACAGCAGCCTTAGGACTGGAGAATGCAGTTGCAGTGGTATCTGAAATACTGAAGGGTCTTTGTTTGAAGCAGTGTATATCCAAAATTTGAGTTGTCTCTTCCCAATCTTGTCGTGTTCCAACTATAAGAACTTGCTTTTATCTTTACTGCTCCTCATTGCTATAGATAGAATCTCTAGTATAAGTGTTAAAATTAAGCCACTCTCACAGATTACTTATTAAAGGATTCTTTGTAATGAAGTGTGGAGGAAAGCACAGAACTGACATCTTATTTTTCCTGGGAACTCATGCATTGGTAAAGACACATGCCTAGCCTTGGCTGGGTGGCTTAGTTGGTCATTCCTTGCACCAAAATGTTGCAGGTTTGATTCCCAATCTGGGCACATACTTAAATTGCGGGTTCAGTCCCCAGCCAGGGCAAGTATGGAGGCAACCAATTGATGTTTCTTCTTTCATATTAATATTTCTCTGTACTCAATAAAAAAAAGACTTGACGCCTATGTGGTATTCCTACCTGACTCTGAATGTAAGGCAATTATGTGAATCCAAACAAAGGGCCATTCTGCAAAAATAAATGGCCTGTACTCTTCAAAAATGTCAATGTAAAATAAAAAGGCAAAGGAACTAGTCTTAGATAAAATAAAATATAACTAAATGCCATATGTGCTCTTTGATTTCACCTTGTATGAAAAATGTTAGAGGATAGTATTGAGACAATTAGGTTAACATTACTATGGGCTACATATTAGGTAATAGTATTATATCAGTGTCAAGTTCCTGATATTAATAGTTGTGGGGAGAAGGTTGTGTTCTTACAAGATGTGTGCTGAAATATTTTGGTTGAAGTGTCATGTTCTTTTATGTGCGATACCAGGTCAGGGCACATACAAGAATCAGTGAATGCATAAATAAGTGGAATAACAAATCAATGTTTCTCTTAAAAACTCAATAAACAAATTTTAAATAAGTTAAAAAAAAGTTGAGGAAAAAGTTAATTTTACTGGGTAAATCTATAATAATAAAAGCATAATATGCTAAATAGACCAGATGACCTTCTGGACGAAGCCCGGGCTGCAAGGGAAGCCCAGGTCCTTGGGTGCCAGAGGGAACCAAGTGCTAGCAGCCTGGGGAAGGCCTACTCTTGAATGAATTTTGTGTCGGGCCTCTAGTAGTAATATAGTTCAAGATCACATAGAATAAGTCTGCAACGGAACTGGACTCATCTAGGAAGTATGAAAGATTGCAAATTTATTCTGCTCACTCCTTTTACCTTGTCCCCCAGCCCCTTGCTGGCCCAGGAAAACTTCAGGCCTATAAACTTCTCCTTGGCTTTTCCTGATTAAAGTTTTTTATCTTACTAAGTTTTAGTTTCTGGATTTGGTGTAAGTTGCCTCTAGTATTCTTAATATGATTTAGACAAATTTAAAAAACGAAGGGACCTTAACCCACCTCATTTTGCAGTGGGATTCACTAATTTGACAAAAAAAATTTGAGTGCTTTTGTTCCAGCATCGTTCTAGGTGTTGGGAAATAGAAGCAAAAAAAATTTGACCTGTGGAGCTTGTGTGGTAACTGTAAATCTTGAGATTTAACAAAACAGACTGGGTAGATTGTGAAACAAAAATGTTTGACAGTTTTGGAGGCTGGGAGTCTGACATCAGGGTGCCAGCATGGTCAGGTAAAGATCCTATTCTAGGTCACATTCTGATTGTATCCTCACAAGGTGGAAGGGGTCAAGGGATGTCTGGAGCCCATTTTATAAAGGCACTACTCCTATTCCACCCTCAAGGCCTATCACTCTCCAGAGGCTGCACCTCCTAACACCATTACCTTGAGTTTAAGATTTCAACACATGAATATGGGGGTGGGGGATAACATATATTCAATCAGATCATATAGTGGGGGGAAGGAAAAACATTGGGTGGTAATAACTGCTAAGGAGAAAAATAGGATAAGGGATAGGAAATAATGACTTGAGGGAACTTTTTTTTTAAATATATTTTTTATTGATTTCAGAGAATAAGGGAGACACAGAAATATTGATGAGAATCATTGACCATCTGCCTCCTGCATACCCCATGGTCAAGCCCACAACCTGGGCATGTATTCGGACTAGGAATTAAACTGTGACCTCCTAGTTAATCCGTTGACACTCAACCATTATGCCAAGCCAGCTGGGCTGGGAGCTATTTTATCAAATTTCAAAGCTTTAGGAATAAAGTGAGCTAAGTGGAAACCTGGGAGAATTCCTGCAAGGGAGGACAAAGATCACAAAGTAAAATAGGAAGTTAAGGACATGGTAATGAGGGGCCTCATCACTGCTGTGGGGAAAAAGTAGCAAGATGTGTAATTTTAAGTGGGGAAAACTACTTCTAATAATCCAGGTATCAACTAATACTAAGTGGAAATGGTGATTCTGGATGAACTTTGAAGGTTGATAATTTGTTCATTCCAGGTTTGGGCAACCATAAGCAGTTACTGAAAGACCACTTAGGAAAATCAGAAGTTCCTTTTGGGACCTATCTAGCACTTGTCACAAAAGGGAAACTATCTGAATAAAATCTTTTGGCCTTTCAAAGCTGTTTCCACTAGTGTTTTATTGGTTTGTATCAGGAATACTGCTGTATGTTCACTACACCTGGGAAAGCTTGAGACAGTAGTGGGTATCTAGCCAGGCAGCTCTCCCTCCTTCCTAGAACCTATATTGTTTTAGGGGATGTTTGGTTGCTCTCCCTGATACCAAGGATGAATCTTGAATCATAGAAGACAGTAATTCTTAATTGGAGTGCTTTTGGAATCTTCCAAAGGCTGTTAACAATGATTAGGAGATTCTAGAGGTGTTTAGTGGATAAGGGCCAACCACAGATACTAAACATTCTATATAAAACCCTAATATACAAATAGACCAGACTGAAAAAACCAAACTGGTTGCTATGTGCACTGACCACCAGGGCCATGTGTGGAACATGGTGGGCATCTACCACAGAGGGGATTTGCCGGATGGGGGTGCAGAGGATGGACAGAGACCTTACCCCTATGCCCACTGCAGCCTTGTGGCCCAAAGTCCCTTTTAAGGTGCACAAAATATTGCACAGCCCACAAGGTCCCCACCAAGTGTCCATCTGGCTGAGAACTTGATCCTAGAATTTATTTTTTATGAGAATCTCAAAGTATTTACATGGCTGTTAGTGACCAATTTTTTAGGAATGTAATTATCATGTAAACAGTGTCCTTAAGATTTTAGAGGAGGAAGAGAGAAATATCAATTTGCTGTCCCACTTATTCATGCATTCATTGGTTACTTCTTGTATAGACCCCAACTGTAATTCAAACCCACCATCCTGGCCTACTAGAAAGACACCTTAACCAACTGAGCCTACCCAGCCAGATCCTCACTGTATTGAGTTTTAAAGTATATATGAGTTTCATTTCTAAATATCAGCAAAAAATAAAAGGTATTACCTCTGGTGTGATCTAAGCCCCATGTTCTTAAGAATCCTGTAAGCGTGGCATATGATAGTCTTATTTTGGAAGATTTTGGGGGAAAATTCCTAATACTTAAATGAAATACAAGATGCAATCTCCTTTCTGTTTCTGAAGTTGTCAGCATGTGATAATTAGAACTATATCAGGATTTAGGATAAGACTAGCCATGTGCTGAGAGTGAAAAGTAAATATGGTAATTATCAGGACCTAATATTACTGAGCCATTCTTGTAATTTAGGATTTACTACTAGATTTATATACAGCTACTTAGAACTGAAAGCAGTCTGAAAATAGCCTGTTTTTGTGCTAGAAATATAGACTTTTAACATTCCAAATAAAAGGTGGAGTTATAAGAAATCAACAAAAAACCTCAGACCCAAGCTTGTACTTAGCCTCACCCTCACAAACAAGAGATCAAGATGCTTTTCATATTTATTTTTTTTAAAAATTCAGAATGGATCAAAAAGAATAATCCAGGATACAGGTGCCAAAGGCCAGAAGGTAGCTATAAAAGTATGCCATAGGAAAATCGGAGCCTTATTACCTTGTTTTAAAAGCTGTACCTAACAAATAGCTTAGCTTCCCCTACTCTATTCTTAATGCGGCACAGCAGGCTTGTCTTGCAAGGCCTCAGTTGAAGGATCCCATGTATACACACACAGGCTGGTATGGCAGCACTTAAGTATTTTATATCCCCAGTTGATTTTATTCCAGGTCTGACTACCTTCATTGTTGTGTGTGGGATGATTTCACCCCTTGGAAACACAGGTATTTCAGCACAAAACAATATTAAGTCTTTACAATCAAATCATCATCTTCCCTTTTTCGTGCAGCTGAAAAATGATAGGTTAGGGACAGACAGAACATTGTGAGTTTTGTTACTGTTGGAATTATCACTCATTAAATGATCATTAGCTAAGTCACTAAATTTACATATTAAGGAAATTATATATAGAATACTGCAAAAACACAGTAAAAGACTGAAGTCTGCCCATTTCTGCTCAGGTAGTCTCTTCACTCCCAAGCGTCATATGTTGTCCTTTTGGCTCCAAAGTTTTCTGTTATTACTGTTTCTCCTCTTTTTGATCTTCCTTTTGTTCCCCAGCACTAGAACTTCCAGAGCCTTCTCGCTCAGAGGCCATCTGTTAAAAAAAACATTTGATAGTCACTCATTTAATGTTAAGGCTGGTAGCTTGCTCTCTGGAGCCATATCCCACCTATTCCATCCCCCCTCTCACAGAAACCACCAGTACCCTCCTTGTACACTACTGGTGGTTTCTGTGACTCCTTCCCTTTGACCTTCAAAACAAATCAAGAAGGAAGGATACTTCTTCATAGAAGGATAGTCTTTATACAACACTCCCGTTCTATAAAATGGCTATGTAGGGAGCCACCAGTGAGTCATCAAGAGCAGTTTTATCAAGATCAGATGAGAAGGAAAATAAATCATTGAGCAAAACACCCTTCAGTCCTTGTACCTTTTTGTATGCCATTTCAAAGAGCTTCAATGACGCTTGCTGAAGGGAAGATGCTGCCTGCCTTATGTTTTCTCCAGTTTCACTATCTTTTCGAGCCAGGAGCTCTCTCATTTTGGAAATCTCCTCTTTTAGTTTGTTGCACTTAAAAAGAAAATAAAACAAAGCTCTCAGTTTTCCAGGTTTTCTTATCTTATTACAATTACACGAAGCAGTAATATTCAGAAACATTTAAAAAAAACTGAATTCCTATCAAGACCCACACAATCTTTATTGACACCAGTGACAATGCCTACCAACTTCTTGAACTATTGTATTATAAAAGAGGGCTCACCTCATCAGCAGGCAATTGGTCCTTGAATTCCTCCATCTTGCTTTCTGTATCATGGATGATTCCTTCAGCCATATTAACTGCTTCAACTCGTTCCTAAGAGACATTAGAAAATGAAGACTTCCCAACTGGTTGGCTGAAAGTCCTCACTGAGAAAGACAACATGCTGAATGCTACATATAGTTAAAAGTAAAAATAGTAAGGGGGAGAAATCACTCTGGTTGGTGTGATATGGGAAGACTTGGAATAAATAAAGGCATTCCAAATAAATTATAGCAAAGGGGGAAAGAGGATAAATTGAGGATAACAGAAGATATAAGATCAAAGATAAATGTCTAAACTCCCACTTTCATCTCCCAGCTGAAAAGACAGAAAATACCAATCACCTTCTTTCGCCTGTCTTCCTCAGCATACTTCTCTGCGTTTTTAACCATATTTTCAATATCATCTTTGCTTAGCCCACCAGAAGACTGGATCACAACTATAGTGGAAAGAAAACATCTTGTTACTTCCCTGGCAAAATTATTTATCTCACCATCTATTTGTATTGAGGAAAACAATATGCCTGCTCAGAATAGCCAATCTTAATATAAATTATGAAGAGGAATACCCTATTGTCCTATGACAGACAGAAGGAAACAAATATCTGACATACACAAAGACCAACTATCCTGCCACGCTGGCAAAACTTTAAGCTTAGCAATCCAGAGGCTCGGTGCTTGCCTATTTTAGGGAATAAACACCCCAATAATGTGAATCTGATAACTGAGAAAACGGGCTAAAAGGAATCATTCTCCCGAGGCTAGAAAAAGATATGCACAACCTAGAGAGTCTAGTTCCCACCAGAAAGAAACTCCAAGGTCTCTTACCTCATCCTTATAGTCTGATAAATAAGAACAACTTACTCTGCTGCTCGCGTCCTGTACCCTTATCTTTGGCAGAAACATGTACAATCCCATTGGCATCAATGTCAAATGTAACTTCTATCTGAGGGACTCCTCGTGGGGCTGGGGGAATTCCAATCTAAAGTAAGTAAGTAAATACACAGATTAAGCTCTTCTTACAAAGAGGTATAGTGCTCCAGTTTCAAACCTACACAGTTTTCTGTGGAACAAGTCATTTGGTTCCTGGGAGGAATCAGCTATAGTTTCACTGAAATGTACAAAAACAAGTTTAGAAGTAAAGGTAGTACTTCCTTTGCTTCCTAAAATGGGGCTCATGCCAGTCAAGACTGGTTGTAGCTAGTGATCATTATTATGTATTTGGGGACACAATGAATAATAGCAGCAAACCTCATTACTGTTCATCTCACTAAGAACCAGTAAGCAACACTAATTAGAAGCCAATAATATCAAATTTCTCTTAAATTAGTAACTAAAAATATCTCCTAATTAGCACTGTCTATGAACACTTCATTCTCATATCTTCTCTATCTATACATATAAACCTGAATGAACAAATGCTGTCACGTGCTCTGAACACCAGGGGACAGATGCTGGTAGTCAGTGCGCTCCTACAGTGAGAGAGCCACTCAGTTGACTAATGGGTGCCTAACCCTGGGCTCATGGCTGGCAAGCAGTTGCGGCAGTGCAATCTGGCTTACAGGGATGGGACTGAAACTGGCAGCCTGACATCCTCCAAGGGGACCCAGATTGCGAGAGGGCGCAGGCCAGGCCAAGGGACCCCACCAGTGCACCAGGCCTCTAGTCTATATAATAAAAGCCTAAGGGACTGTTATGGCGAACAACTGGTTGCTCAGACAGAAGCTGGGCTCAGGGCTGGTGAGCACAGCAGCAGGAGCCCCTCCCACTTCTGCGGCAATGCTAAGGAGAGGCAAGCAGAGTGGTAAGGAGCAAGGGGTCTCTGACTGCGAGAGAGTTCAGGCTGGGCCTGAGGGGGTCGACCCCCCCCAATCCAGTGCACAAATTTCGTGCACCAGGCCTCCATTATATACACAATATTTTTAAAGTTCCTAAGGCACAAGCAAGGCTTTCATGTAAAAACTGAAGTGAAGGGCTCTTTAGTTGCAGAAATTGTATGTACACTATGTTAAGAAAATAGACTACCCGTGTTTCAGCAATTTATAGTAATATCAATAGGGATTGAAATACAGTCTAACTGTACAATAAAAAAAAGGAACATATTTAGGATTTCCAATACCCACCAAAGTAAACTGTCCAAGAAGTTTGTTGTCTCCAGCCATCTCTCTCTCACCCTGGCACACTTTAATCTCCACTTGAGTCTGACCATCAGCAGCTGTAGAAAACACCTAGGGAAAAAGAAACTTTCTGGGTTGGCTATCTAATGAAAACCACTCCCCTTACACAGAGGACAAGCCAAAGAAAGAAACTCACACTGTAATACTGAAAGAGTCCTAATGTACACTATTTTCAGAACAAAGCCTTAAGTCTTTTGCAGGGAACGGAAGTAGGATTAGCACACCATAAGGGCATGCAATAGCTATTGGTTCTCTAAGCAGCAAATGCACTGTAAAAAGATGCAGCATTGGCACAGAAGGCTTTAAGAGAAGGTGCCAAAAAAACAAGATGTTGAAACATGCTCATGTGGGGAAATAGGTCAGAGATAGGACATGCATTTTATGCTCAGTAACAGGACGTCACCACATACTTTTCAGAATGATGTGTTGACAATACATCATAGCACAAATATAGCAATAGCCAGTTTTTCATAAAAACATCAAAATTGGAAAAGTCAAGAGATCATTCTTAAGCCAAAGACCCCAATCACAGCCCAAATAGCCCTGCCTGCCATTACAGGACAACCATCATTCACTCATAATAAAAGCTCATTGCACTGTCTTGGCCAGGCCATTTTTTTTTTTACTGCCTTTGATAATAGAAGAGAATTCAGTCCCACATGATGAGGCTTCTTTTGGTAAGTTAAAGAGTGAAATTTTCCAGGAAAAGCTCACAAAAATGGCTGCAATCACATCCCTCAAAGAACCGTGGCTCTTACCTGACTTTTCTTGGTTGGAATAGTGGTGTTCCTATTAATAAGCTTGGTAAATACACCTCCCAGAGTCTCAATACCCAAAGAAAGGGGAGTGACATCCAGGAGCAGCACATCTGTGACATCACCAGCCAACACACCTCCCTGAATGGCAGCTCCCATGGCCACAGCCTCGTCAGGATTGACAGCTTTACTTGGGGCTCGGCCAAAGAGATCCTGCACAGTCTGCTGAACCTGAGCACAAAGAAAAAATAATCTGTTACCCACTACTCAAAGCAACTAACTGCCCAAGAAGGGGAGAGAGAGAACATATGTACCAAGACCGTAGTAAATTAAATTGTAGGATAAGTTGCTTTAGATCCAAGAATTTCACTCAAATTACTAGTATTTCATAGTTGAATGCTTATTAATGATCTGAGTACATCATGTAGGTAACACTCATGTATTTTATTCACATGATATGTCATTCATAGCCCTTTAAATTTGGGAAGAATTTGTGTAAGTTTGTAATCTGGTTTCCCATACAATACATTGCATTAGAAATGGTGTAGCCCTGGTTGGTATGGCTCAGTTGGATGGGCATTGTCTGGTGCACGGAAAGGTTACGGGTTTGATTCCCTGTAGAAGGCATGCAGGAGGCAGCTCATCTACATATTGACTACAAACTAAAAGAAAGCAGTGCAGAGGCCATTCAATGACAACAGTGGTGCCAACATGGGATGTGCTCTTCCCTCCTTTTTAAAATAATGCTAGGAAAAAGTGCTATTTAAATAGCATCTAGGATATTTGCTAACAATATAATATAGGTCCAAAGCCTCTCATTTTGTCTGCAGATTTATTCTGTGCATATTTTCCTAGGCCCACATACTTGAAAATTTAAGAAAATATCAAGGCCCAAGATAATTCTATGGAAGTCATAAAGATTGCACCATCAACAGTTTCTGTGCTCAGTCATTAACTTTCTACACATCTGTCTTTTCAGAATGATGTGTTGATAAATAGAATGCATCATTGCACAAATCTTTGTTGAAGAGGTACAATTAAAAGCCTTGAACACTATGCTGTAAAGACACATGTCAAAAATTATTCCACAGAGGCCAGTTGGTGTCAAGGTTTTAATATATATATGTACTTTGTAACTGATTTTTAGAGGAAAGGAGAGAAACATCAACCTGGGCATATGCTCTGCTTGGGAATCAAACCAGCAAACGTTCAGTGCACAAGATGATGCCCAAGCAACTGAACCATACCAGCCAGAGCAGTATCAAGGTTTTAAGCTATCTCTGACCTCATGTTCATTCCTAAAAATTCTTCAAGACTGAAGTTCAGAATCCTCCATGTCATCACCCCATGGACATTTTGCCCTTCCTAATCCTTTTTCTTATATCCTTGAATTTTAAAAAGAGGCTGAAAAGAACTCTTTAGTTAAAAGCACCAATTCATCCTTTTTGGATCATCATGGAAGAAAGGCCACATAGTCATATCCTGACACATTTGTTTCCCCCCCAAAAAACATATGCAGGTCCTCTCTGCTCGCCATGCTAAGAATTCCATGGATCCATCCATACCTTGGGCATTCTAGTCATGCCACCAACAAGAATCACTTCTCCTATGTCACTCTTGCTGACTTCTGCATCTTGCATGGCTTTTTGGCATGGTGCGATGGTCCTCCTGATTAGCTCAGCAACAATCCCCTCAAACTGAGCCCGGGTCAGCTTCATATTCAAATGCTTAGGTCCAGATGCATCCATTGTAAGATATGGCAAATTGATGTCAGTCTATAAAGGAAGGAGGGAGGATCAGTAGTGGTGAAGTTTCTTTATTCAATAAATACTGTAGGACAGGAAGACTTTAAAGGAATAGCTACTAAACAACAGTGACTCTTTAAGAGTCCAACTCTTATCTTTCCAAAGGTAAAAATACTTCAGAATTTTATTATTAAACAATGAAGACCAGAGGAGAGAAACAGGAAAAATCCCTGTTAAAGAGACAAGAAGTATTCTACCACTAAATATATAGGGTGGGGCAAAATTAGATTTATAATTGTGAGTACACGTAACAGTTCATTCCTATATTATTAATTACTGTATTTTCTATACAAATTGTAAGCATAGTTTTGTCCCACTCTGTACATTTAGAATCATACTATAGCCCAGCCAGTGTATCTCAGCTGAGCATAGACCTATGAACCAGGTCACAGTTCGATTCCTAGACAAGGGTACACACCTGGGTTGCAGGCTCAATCTCTAATGTGGGGCATGCAAGACGTAATCAATGATGTATCTCTTTCTCTCTCTCCCTTTCTCTCTGAAATTAATAAAAAAAATATATATATTTTTAAAGGAAAAAAGAACTACACTACTGTTTTTTCCACCAAGTTTAAAAATATTCCATGTACGGTAGTTAAAAAACACACACATCCAAGATAGGCTCTGAACCAAATAGTGTGTCACCAAGCCAGGGCTTTATTAGTTTCAGGAAGATGATTAGAAAGCTACAAACAGAGATGCTCTTTAACTACAAGGACTGCCATCATATCCACAGATAGCTGCTAACATGGCCACAGTCACAGGCATATATCTAGTATTTAATAAACCCCAAATGCTATTAAGGTATGGATTAAGAATATTTAGGCCTGCCTAGGATGGCTCAGGGGTTGAGCATCGACCTATGGACCAGGAGGTCACAGTTCAACTCCTAATCAGGGCATATGCCGGGTTTCGGGCTAGATCTCCAGTAGCGGACGTGCAGGAGGCAGCTAATTATTGATTCTCTCATCATAGATGTTTCTCTCTTTCCCCTGATATTAAAAAAATGTATTTAAAAAAATATTTAGACAAAAAAAAATGAACATGCTGAAACAGATGTCTTAGGGGTGGGCTCTCGGGAACAGAATTACCTTATGCCTCTCCTCTAACTTCACATCAAAGCAAGGCCCACAGAGATTAAAGATGGAGGGGAGCAAATCCTTAACCATTTCCTTGGGTAAAGAACTAGGACTATTAAATACTTAATATGAGAAACAGTGTTACTGGGTTTTGCTTTTAAGAACACCGTTGACAATTTACTTCTTTCTTTGTAAAATGTCAATAATACTAATTAACAACAGAACTGCATCATCCAAACCAATATGATTCAATAGGACTTTTTTTTTTATAATATATTTTTTATTGATTTTACAGAAGAATTGAGAAGGATAGAGAGTTAGAAACGTCGATGAGAGAGAAACATCGACCAGCTGCCTCTTGCATACCCCCTACTAGGGATGTGCCCACAACCAATGTACATGTCCTTGACCGGAATAGAGCCTGGGACCTTTCAGTCTGCAGGCTGATGCTCTATCCACTGAGCTAAACCGGTTTCGGCCAATAGAACTTTTTGTGACAACAATGTTGTTCAATTCAGCAGCCAATAGCCACTTATGGCTGAGCTCCTGAAATACAGCTAGTACTACTGAGGGACATAATTTAAAACTTATATTTAATTTTAAATACCCTATTGTTTTAGTGTAGTTCTATATGCTATCAGTTAATGACAACCTGAAAAATTCCAGGGCTCTCAACTCTATAAAACAAGTTCATCACAGTTTTATCCTTTGTTTTTCTCAAATCCAAGTATCTTTTTCAATATCAATCCTCCCTCTTACCACCTGCTATGCTACAATAACCTCCCAGTAATTTCCCACATCCACTCAGGTTGCCTTCTACAACAGAACACTTCCCCACTGAAAATAAAATTGTGCTCTACCTTGGCCCAAGTGCTTTTCATAAACCCAAATCTGACCATGTTATTGCCCCCTCACAAAGTTTTTAGTGGTTTATACTCACTCAGAACAGATATCAAAACACACAAATCTAAAGGAGCTCTAGCTCCCTGTCCCATGCTCCCATGCACATATGCATTTCAGCCACACTAACCGCTTAGCACTTCATACTTGATTAACTCAGCATTTCCTAATTAACTTCCAGCTGTTTCCTTGCTATGTCCAACACCTCTGGTCAACTGTCAGGTTCCTCTATTATAAATCTAACTTTGCCTTTTTACTACATTAATAACTTACATTCAGAGTACTCATGTTGTTCTAAGCATGTTACATGTATGTATGAATTTAGTAATCCTAGAAATTCTAAGGGGAAAAGAAGCCCTGTTATCTGTATTTTACAGAATGGAAATGTTAAGGCATTCACCCAAGGTCACACTGCTAAGTGATAAAATAGGACCCAAACCCCAACAGTCTACTTGTAGAGCCACTCTTAACCTTTCCATTATGTTACTTCTGGCTTGACATTTTATATTCTAAATAATGTCCACCCCCCACACTACACTAAACTATACGAACAAGGGTAGTGTTTCTCAGAATTGATTCTAGAGGTTTATAATCACACATGCACAAACATTAATGTACAAGGATGCTCCATATTCCTTGCTATAATGACAAAATGCTGAGAAAAATAACCCTAATGCCTATCAATAGGATACAGTAAGTCTTTGAATAACAAAACATTGATGAGATGCCATTGGAATTTATCAAATAGCCTATGAAAAACTGGTTTCCTTATACAACATTTTGCTTAAAATTCCTAGGACATATTGATGACATCAAGTGAGGACTTACTGTGCAGCCATATAAAAACCAACCATCCTTTGCCTCCAAAAAGTGTCAGACCCCTGGGAAGAATAATAAGCTATTCTTTGGCACTACTGCAATATTTCAACCCTAACCCATCATGTTGCAAAGTTCTGCCACTCTGTGTGATAGCAGGAAAACAAAGCAACATCATCACCCTGGGTCCCTTTGTACAACTTTTGTCATTGCTCATAGCTATTTAAAAAAATCCAGGTTTGACTTGATAAATACTTCTCTTCCCAGGGGTAATCAAACTAAAGTAGTCACAGGCTCTGTTTCTCTGCCACCTAAGAACCTGATATTAAATCTCCAGCCTTCCACCTTGTCTGTCTCTGACCCAGATCTACCATACTTTCTACAATTCTATTCTTGGTTATTAAAGCAAAGTGAAGCTTCATCTCTCTGAAATGAAGCAGGATTGGCTGACACCTTAAAACATGCTGAGCAAGTCTGATGCCCAGGGGGAAAAACTTATTTGGATGTATAAATGCCAACCTTCATAGCTCACTTTCTAGATCGGTAAATCAAATTAAAGGAGAAACTACTAGAGACCAACACAAAGGTATATTGAATTAAGTGAAAATAGTAGTGCTGAGAGTCTCCTGGTGTTTACAGGTTAGCAATTAATAGTTTTTCACACAGCTAGTCTAGATTTTAGCTTCAGTACACATAACCTCTGATTTGGAAGGTTAACAAATTTTGGTCATCCATTAAAACACATACACACAACACCGGGTTCCTATGCTCATGGAAAGGTTTTTACCACCAATCAGAAAACAGTAAGACAAATAAAATATGCTATTCAAGTAAGCTCAGGCTTAAAAGATCCATCAAGACTACTGGGATTTGTCCTTGTCTCACCTGCACAGACGAGGAGAGTTCACACTTAGCCTTCTCAGCAGCTTCCCGAACTCTTTGAAGTGCCATGTTGTCTTTGGTCAAATCAACCCCCGTCTACAAAGTTAAGACAAAAACACTATTATTAGTGAGGTAATAAATACTCTTAAATTGCAGTGATATGCTGTTAACAACACAAAACAGAGCTATAACTATAAACAAGCATACATTACTTCTTTTCTTTAAAAATCTGTAGGGAAAAGAAAAGTCATTCTAAAAGGGCTATCTATGCCTGGAGTCAGAAGGCAGAACTGATTTCAGTTTTTTTTAACTGTAGAAGTCTAGTTCAAAAAAAGGAGTTCCCAGAATTCCTTTTTCAATACTGTACAGAGTGCCATAACCTTCAAACTGAAATACAAATATTTCAGTGTTCTACTCTGTGCAGCTATCTGACTATGGAAATTTTCACATCCTGATATTTACAGATTAACCACACCAATAACTAACCTCTCTTTTAAACTCCTTCACAATGTGTTGTAGCAAGGCCTGGTCAAAGTCTTCACCACCTAAGAAAGTGTCTCCATTGGTGGACTTAACTTCAAATACTCCTTTCTGGATTTCCAGGACAGAAATATCAAAAGTCCCACCACCTAAATCATATACAGCAATGCTAGGAAAAAAAATAAAGGAAGGCCTTAAGTAACAAAAGTAATGAAGTATTTATACATGCTACAAGGACAAACCTTGAAAACCTATCTGACCAGCACATGGTAGAACCTATGCCAATATACATTTCAATAATCAAATAAATATTAAACTTGTCTATTTTCCTCAAAGAATAATTACTATTATGAAATTTGATAATTGTGTGACATTTGTATTAATATATGGCCTTAACATGTAAAGTATACATACAGTTGAAATTAATAAATTTATTTAAAAGCAAAACCACTCTTTTGGACGGGAGGGAATGACCCTATTAGACCAGTACTTAGGGGAAAGTAGTAAAAAAAAAAAAAAAAAAAGTCTTGAAATGAATGAAAAAGATATTACAGAGCCTTGAAGAACATCAAGGCAATATATTTTAGTCTAAATATAAGAATCACTAAGAAATCAAGACTTGGGATAAGTCTTGGTGGAGTTTATTATTATACAGACTTACACTTTATCTTCTGACTTGTCTAGACCATAGGCCAGAGCAGCAGCTGTGGGTTCGTTAATTACCCGAAGCACATTCAGTCCAGCTATCTGACCAGCGTCCTTAGTGGCCTAAAAAAGTAAAAAGCATTTTTCAGCTTTGTGTCAGCAATACCATTAATTTCCTAGATAAAAATGCTAATTGACTCACCTGTCTTTGAGAGTCATTGAAATAAGCTGGGACTGTGATCACAGCATTTTTTGCTGTATGCCCCAGGTAATTTTCTGAAAAAAGAATCAAGGAATGATCCAATCATGAGATTGTCAGATGACACAGGTAACAAAATTATTAATGTAACCTAACAACCTATATCATCTTTTTGGAGCCACAAACAGCACTCATCAGTTTTTCAGCATGCTAGAACCTAACATGTAGAGAACTTGTAGGAAAATACTCCATCTGAAAATAAAATTAAAAACCAAGACCTCACCTCTAACACTTCAGTGAAACTTCAACAACTAGAATGACTTAAAATAATTACTAGTTTCTTCAAATGGGAAGCCCTAAAGTTTTGCCTAACAGACAAAAGCTTGTGTATGATCCTTTAGCTTTCAAAATACTACTTCCCTACTGGAAAAAAGAAGAAAGCCACCATTTTTTGGAAGATGTATTCAATCTGCAGGGAATAGTATGAAAAAGGTTTTCTATATAAAAGCAATCAGACTCACCCATGGACAGTGGGGTATAAAAACTAGTGATTTCAGATAAATCACCCACTTCTTGATACTTTCCCAGATGTGAAGAACTAAACATCTCACCTGCAGTCTCTTTCATCTTCATCAACACAAATGCTCCAATCTGACTCGGAGAATAGAGTTTTCCATGAGCTTCAACCCAGGCATCACCGTTGGAGGCACGGACAATTTTAAAGGGAACATTTTTACTGCAAGACAATAAAAAACATGGCTGTGCAATTTACCATGAATGTCCACCCTTCCATCCCCAGAAATCCATGATCAATGAGAACTTCAGAAATTAATTTAGTAAAAGCCTTTAGAAAGTAAACATTAACGTATCAAAACACCCTGATGAAACCCAAACATCCTCTACTTCCCACCAAACAAAATACTTATGCAGCTGCTTTGGAAAATGGTTATCACTTATAGGACCCAGAAATTCCATTACTAAGTATCCAGTCAAGAGAAATGAAAACATGTGTTCACACAAAGATCTGTGGCAGCATTACTTGTAATACCGGTAGCTAAAAAGTGGCCTGGCTTGTGTGGCTCATGGTTGAGCATCGACCCATAAACCAAGAGGTCACCACTGGTTGGATTCCTGGTCAGGGCACATGCCTATGTTGCAGACTCAATCCCCAGTCGTGCAAGAGGCAGCAGATCGATAATCTCTCTCTTTTTTTAAAATATATTTTATTGATTTTTTACAGAGAGAAAGGGAGAGAGAGAGAGAGCTAGAAACATCGATGAGAGAGAAACATCGACCAGCTGCCTCCTGCACACCCCCTTCTGGGGATGTGCCCGCAACCAATGTACATGCCCTTGACTGGAATTGAACCTGGGACCTTTCAGTCTGCAGACCGACACTCTATTCACTGAGCCAAACCGGTTTCGGTGATAATCTCTTTTTTTAAAATTAAGAGAAAAAGAAGGGGGAAAACAAACTTAATGTCCATTCACATAAGTGGCTAAATAAAATGTATATATCCAGACAATGGGATATTATCTGGCCACGTAAAGTAATGGAGTATTGATACATGCCACAACACAAACCTTGAAAACATATCTGATCAGCACCTTCTACTATCTGCCTTATGAATTTAACACCAATTTACATGGCCCAGGAATGACTAGCCAAATCTTCATGTACCACATCTACACACAGCAAAGACCTAATCTGTGGAGGCAAAAGTGAATTCTGTGAAGGAGATATCCTTTCGGCAGGTGAGGGCTTGCCCCCAGGGATACATGAAATTATGAATATGCTCAAGGGAACCTGCTAAAAGGTCCTTTTGTGTGGCCTTCACAAATAACTATACTTTTGTAATTACTCACATGTCTTTCTGGACTTCAGAGTCATCATATCGCCGGCCAATAAGACGCTTGGTAGCATAGAATGTGTTGTTCGGGTTGGTGACAGCCTGTCGCTTGGCAGGCATGCCAACAAGTCGCTCACCATCTGCTGTAAAGGCTACAACTGAAGGGGTGGTTCTGGCACCTTCAGCATTCTCCAGCACCTAAAACGCCAAAAGCAAGACAGAGAATGAGGTTCCAGTGACCACACTATCTTTTATTAATCATTTAAGACAAAACAGATGTCAACTCACAACATAAATGCTCAAGAATAGTGGATGCTGATATGGTAAGTACTTTCTACTAGAGATAGTGGATGTTCAAAATATCTTTATTCCTTTATTTTGAAACAACAGAAAGAAAACCAGAACAAATATAAATCAGAGCTTTCATAGTTCATAGTCAATGTAAGGACCAGGTGACTTTTCTTTCTAGAAGAATGAAATCCATTTCTCAATTTTTTGGGTAATGGCTAAAAAGTTTCAGGCATATAAAAATTGCCAAGAAACAATTCAAGAATCTCAGGTGCTCCTTAGAGAACTGCCCTAACTGGTTTGGCTCAGTAGAATATCGGACTCAATCAAAGGTCCCAGGTTCGATTCTGGTCCATGGCATGTAGCTTGGTTGTGGGCACATCCCCAGTAGGTGGTGTGCAGGAGGCAGCTGATTGATGTTTCTCTCTCATCAATGTTTCTAACTATCTTTCCTTCCCCTCTGTAAAAAATCAATAATATATATATATTTTTTAAAGTGTCATAAAAAAAAAGGGAAACTTCTGGAATAGTTATAATAGGAATCTCCTAAGATGCTTTATTTAAATTGTAGCCCATGTATTATGTGTTATGTGGAGCTCCACTTGGGATTGATAACAAAAATGGTCTTTAATTTATCTATAGGCCATCCCAATGGTAATTTAGTAGTCCAAGAGGACACACCTAAATACTTGGAAGTCAAATCCATCCAATTATCAGCACCATGCAATAATTGTGACCCAGAGTTTCAAATCATGCTCACCTTTGCTTGTTTACCTTCCATAACTGCCACACAGGAATTGGTAGTACCCAAATCAATACCAACAACTGCTCCCTTGATTGCTTCTGATCTGTAAAACATTTAAAACAATGCTATAGCTATCATTTTAATAGTGATCTCTAAAATGGATACAAGAATACATAAGAAGATATTTGATACTGTGGGAATAGTGGTACATTACATAATTTGAAAATAAACATAGATGTATCATTTTTTTCCTGAGCAGAATCATTAATCACAAAGTTAGAGACCACTGCTCTGGAGTTTAGAATTTATCTCTCAAAGGAAATTAAGTTACACTTACGCATAATCCCGCTTTGAAACAATTCTAAAAGTCTCATGACTAAGGCCATTCCAACCATCCTAAAAAAGAAAAAAACAAAGAGACAATTACATCATCCATTATTACATATGAAAACTTGAACTTGTTCCAATTATTCTTCTGAAAGTCTCAAACTCTTATTCTACTTAACTGAGAGGCTACCATATATAACATATAATGAAATGAAGTATTTCATGTAAGAGGTATTGTAGTACGTTTAATAAAGCCCTACATATACGTGAGTATTGCATGTATAAGTTTACCTAGAAGCATTTACCCTAACCCTACTTTAAAGAGATAGGATTAGAAATCTTGTAGAGTCAACCTAGAAAAAAATTCTTTTTTTCAGGCGTAGCCTCCAACCAGGATCAAAGAAAAGACCTTGGTTACAACCTAATTTTAGGCTACTTCCAAGCCTTTCTTTAACCCCAGTAAAGACAATTCCAGATCCTCAACGATGTAGGCTTTTGATCATAGGTGGCAACAAGCACCATGGCTTTCCCCCAATTTGTTTACATTTTTTGAAATAACAGAGGACAATCTTAACCCCAAAATTTGGGGGAACCAACTACACCAACATTCCTAAACAAAGGAACGGAAACTTGATTCTGGATTTATTAAGGTGTGCTCTTGCTTTATTTCATCTCTGCAACGGGGTCCTTGCACACACTGTGTCTTACAGAAGAGAACAGTCGTCTCCGACTCAAAGGTGAGGCTACAAACCTGAAGAGCGGTTCCCTTCGAACTAGAATTGCATCCCTCGCCCACAAGCCCAACCCTGTTTAATCAGCCACAAAACGGATTGTCAAGACCACTACCTACTACTTCGTGAAATAAGGCAAGGGGTGTGACTCAGCAGGGCTCGGGACACGGAGATAAAACCCTGAAATGGGCCTTGAATCGGCAGCGCCGATTACAGAAGGCCCGTTACCTTTCTTTCCACCTGATCTCTCCCAGAGGATTCTGACCCCGAAGGGCGCGTGGCCTGCGGCTCCAAGACCGGGAGCCGAGAGGCCCTCGGGGAAGGCCTGGCAGTTTCTTACCTGGTGGCGGGCGACCGTAGGGCCCCGGGAGGCTGCAGCGCCGACGAGACGGGATGCCGCAGCTCGGCTGGCGCTTATCATGGCGGCTGAGCAGTGAGGGTAGGAGGCAGCGAACAGTCACTCGGACAGCCGGGATCTGCGCTGTGCTGAGCGGCGGTGGAAACGCTTCTGGAAACCTCCAACCACGTGGGATGGGGCGGGCGGGGGTTGGCCGCTGGAGCCTGGAGGCCCGCTCTTCCGCTGAGGCGCTGCCTGTAATGCCTGACCAGAGACTGCCTGACCGCCGCTGCCGGAGTCAGCGCGTACGGCCAATACGCTCCGCAGCATGATGGTTGAAAAAGTATGTCCTTCAGTTCTCGCTGTGGCAGGTTTGGGCTCAATGAGAGGCGAGGGGGTTGAGAGATATATGAAGGCAACAACTTTAGACAGCCCTGGTCCTCGGAGGCAGCAAAGACTCAAGGTCACACGGGATAAACTGCGAAACGATTACAGTCTCCTTGCGTCAGTTGCGTCAGAGGAGGGGCCTCTTGCGCCTGCGCAGCTGGCGCCCGGCTAAGCGCCTGGGGCGCATGTGCTCAGGGAGTGGCGGAAAACAGGGGTGGAGCGTAACTACCGCCCTCATTGGACGTCCCACCGAACGTAGCCGGAGGCGAGCCTGGGCGCGTGCACTCTCCTTGCGCGTGGACGTTATTGCTTCTCCGCTCCGAGCGAGGGCGCCATCTTGTCCAGGGTCTTTTTTCAGTGTAAACCTCAGGCTCGGAACCTTCCTTGCTCATTTTCTGGCTATCTATTGGTATATATATATATATAATATATATTTTAACCTTTATTTTTACTGTTGACACTATTCCACATGTTCCCAACTCCACCCAGCCCCCGCTCCTCCTTCCCTCTGGCCATCACATCACCGTTGTTTGCCTATGGGTTATACATATACGTTCTTTGGCTAATCTCATCTTCTTTAAAAGAGTCTTCCAGTGGTACGGCAGTAACGTGAAATGCATATCCACACCCCGGGCTGGCCCTCACTGAGGTTACTCAGGGCCTCTCAAACCTGACGCTGGTTGCTAGGGGCAGACGTGGGTTCTGTGACAAAGGAAAAAATTTATGGATTGAACAAATATGTACCGATGTGACAGACACTTAAGTGTACAGTGAAAACAAAATGTGAATTCACTTATCACAACTTGAGTTTAATTCTGCAAATGAAGTAATTTATCCTTAAAGCTTTAAAGTCCTATTTCGAAAGAGAAAAAGATACTCCACTATTAAGTGATCACTGTGTGAGGCGTAAAGGGAATGTCAGGGAAAGTTGGGGAAGAAGATAACTGGAATGTGCATTGTGAGGGGAATGGAAGTGAGAAACAACAACAAAAACACACACATTGGTTCTAGATTAAGGTAATCAGATGTCCCGCTTTTGGCGGGACAGTCCCGCTTTTGAACAGTTTTAAAAAAGTCCCGATTTTCGAAGGACTTTTATACATGCACATAAGTACAACCAATGGACATGAAACTCTGGGGAGGGAGGGGATGTGAGGGAGGGAGGGGGGGCAAAAAATAAAAAAATAAAGAAATATATATATATTAAAAAAAAAAAAAGTCCCGATTTTACAGAAACCGGTTTGGCTCAGTGGATAGAGCATCGGTCTGCGGATTGAAAGGTCCTGGGTTCGATTCCGGACAGGGGCATGTACCTTGGTTGCAGACACATCCCCAGTAGGGGGTGTGCAAGAGGCAGCTGATCGATGATTCTCTCTCATCGATGTTTCTAACTCTCTATCTCTCTCTCTTCCTCTCTGTAAAAAATCAATAAAATATATTTTTTAAAAAAAAGTCCCGATTTTTAGGGGGAGTGGAAGAGAGAGGAAAGACAGAAACATGCATGTGAAAGAAATTTTGACACCAATTAGTTGCCTTCTGCATGAGCCATTACCAGGGCAGGCCCAGGGAGCCTGCAACCAAGTACGTGCTCTTGACTGGAATCCAGCCTGGGACCCTTTGGTCCACAGGCTGATGCTCTATCCACTGAGTCAAATCTACTAGAGCAGGCAAGTCATTTTTAATACCTCAAGGATTGGCAAATGTTGGCAAAAGACTGACAAATTCATCCATCTTTAAATGTTTCTTTCCATTTAAGTATATTTTTTCTTTCAAGCTTTATAGCAATTACAGAGAGATCTAGTTTATGGGTAGCAGATAGCCATCATTTTTAAAAATATATATATTTTATTGATTTTTTTACAGAGAGGAAGAGAGAGGAATAGAGAATTAGAAACATCGATGAGAGAGAATCATCGACCAGCTGCCTCTTGCACACCTCCTACTGGGGATGCGCCTGCAACCAAGGTACATGCTCTTGACCGGAATCAAACCCGGGACCTTTCAGTCTGCAGGCCGATGCTCTATCCACTGAGCCAAACCGGTTTTGGCATGCCATCATTTTTTAGGGTCATTTTTTAGAGTCCTAATAGCTTGCATGTATGAAAAATACACATTTGACTTAAAAAGGCCTCATTCTTCATTCACTTCAGCAAAAGAGGTCTAGCTGAAGGATAGTATTAAATTTAATGGTGCCATTAACTGGCCAAATCTCTCTATTGTTCACTGTATAGTTGAGTCAGGCTATGTTGTAAAAGAAGCTTGAGGGATTTAGGTCAAATTTCACCCAAAAGGGTAATTCAAGGCTCTGTGGATTGGTTTCCCATCTTTGGAGAGACAGATCCATTCCCAGTTGAGAGAGGCATCTTAGCTATCCTCTGGGCTGTCCTGGGCCATTGTCCTATGGTCTGACAATGTACCACAGTAGCACAGGTCCCTTTGCACCCTCAGAGGTAGACTTTAGACTTTGCTATACAGATTTCAAAGTTGCAGGCTAATGACCCCTGGTGGTCAGTGAGCATCGTAGCTACTAGTCGACCGGTTGTTTGGTTATTCAGTTGACCCATTGCTTAGGCTTTTATATATATAGAAATAAAAATAGAAAATAAAAATGGAAAAGATAAAAATAAATACATTTCAGTGTTTCCTTCCTGTACTTCAGTGTATCCCTCAGGCTTCTTGCACATTCCTTGCTACTGTTCTGTATAGCTTAAATTACACCATTCCTATAGAGTTCCTTTATTGGGAAGAGTAAGAAAAGTGCCAAGGTATCTCAAGAATCAGTTCATAGGCCATTGGTTTAAGTGTTAATTTCTTATTTTATTAAAGTAGCTGTTGGGGTGGAGGTAGTGACTGTGTCAGTCTATATTACATGATGTGAAGCAAGCAATTTACTTGGAAGGAGCCCAGCAAACATTTCAGAGGAAAGGGGGAATCTGTGAGCATGATAGCTGCCATGGGTCTTCTGAACATCTGTCTTCCATCATAGAATTATGAACTGTTTCTGAGCATGGCAAAGTGCAAAGTCCACAGAGGCTGTGGGTGAGGCTGTGTGTGCCCTCCACAGCTTTGCATGGGTTCCCAGAAGGAAGTCTGCTCTGCCCCAGGCTGTTGTACCAGGATGTGTATGACACAGGGAGAGTGGAATGCTGTTTAGAGAGCTTTGCAGAGGAGAGAGGGACATGGTACTTCTTAGAATCAAGGCAGTTATTAGCCATGTATATGTGTCTATTTCCTGATTGATAGGGATATTTGAAAATAATTTACTTATAATTTTACTAGAGGCCTGGTACATGGATTCATGCACATTGAAAGGAAATTAATTAGAAGGTGGCTGGCGAGGTAGGGCCAGACACACCCTGGAGCCAACTTCCCACAGTCCCTCCTCTGCCAGCCGCATCTGGGGTGGCACTGGGTCTCAAAGGACGTCTGCAGAGTGAACAGGGGTCCCTCCAGCAGGTGGGGTCCTTCAGCCTGGCCGATGGGGGTTGGGCCAAAACCGGCAGTCCAGCATCCCCCGAGGGGCCTTGGAGTGTGAGAGGGCACTCTGCAAAGTTGCTGTTGCTCGGCAGCTCTTGAATTGAGCTTCTGCCCCCTGGTGGTCAGTGCACATCATTACTACCAGCCAGTTGGCCGACTGGTCACTTAGTCTTTTATATAGAGATTGTTTTTCTTTCTTTTTCTTTAAAAAAAAAATATATTTTATTGATTTTTTTTACAGAGAGGAAAGGAGAAGGATAGAGACTTAGAAACATCGATGAGAGAATCACCTATCAGCTGCCTCTTGCACACCTCCCACTGGTACATACCCTTGACCGGAATCGAACCCAGGACCTTTCAGTCTGCAGGCTGACGCTCTGTCCATTGAGCCAAACCGGTTTCAGCTATAGATTGTTTTTTCACTAAGCTTTCTTTATACTACTGAAAATCTCTAGGCTAGAAACATTTCTTTCTGTCACTTTGCCTTTTTCTATTTGGCATATGTGCTTATGATTTTTGTGTTCTGCTTTTATGTTTAGCATTATTTTGTTTAAGGATATCTGCTTGTCAACCTGATCCATATACTTGTAATTTTTAATAGCTGTCTATATAATCTCATTCTTTCTTGAGATTCATAAATTTATCCCACTGAATCTTCTATTTTTTGGCAGGGTATGCGGAGATATTTGCTGCATTTCTAAAATATCTCTGAAAACAGGCGGCATTTTAGAATTGAAACCAGCATTTCCTTTTCTACTTTAAGAGTGCTACGCAGGAAGCCATTGGGCACACCAAGGTATTGAATTATCTTTCCATGTCTTCGGGTTATGAGAAATCTCAGCAAGAGGTCTCAGACACCAAACTGGGTGTAGGGTGGGGAGAATTAAACTTGACAGGGTACTTGATATTTCTGAAGAGTCACTTAAGTTCTATTACTGCCATGTTCAAAATGTAGACATAATTTGGTACTGTGATTAAAGCAACTTTCACCAATAGCCACTATAAGATATAGCGGTATGCAATAGCCAGTTTATCATTTGGGGTGTAACAATTAGCTAAAGCTATTTTTCTCTAAAGGGTCAGTCAGTTCTCTTGTTTTTCTCCACAACTTCAACTTTAGCAAGGAGCCATCATAAATTCTGTGACATAGCTGTCTCCTTATCAGTCCTGGGAGTTATAGGCTGCACATATAAAACAATTTATGTGCCTTTGCATAATGA